TGGGTGTAGTGGCGTAGGGTGGCTGATGGGATGAATTCTGGATCTGGAATGGATGGTGGCGTGGCTACTAGGTATGGGTGTGGTGTGGTGTGGTGCCGTGCCGTGCCGTGCCGTGGGACTTGATAAGGCTGTGTCTGTCTGTGTCTGCGTGACTGTGCTCTGTGCAAACGGGATAGGGGTGTTATGGTGTACATACCGTACATAAGCGCAAATGTACTGTATATGGGCTGGGGGGTGGATTGAGGAAGGGGTGGTGTTGAAGTTGAAGTTGAGTATTGAGGCTCGGATCCATATTTGTGCTGTTGGAGTAGACTATGGGGTAAGTCAGGTTATCTTTTCCGATGTTGGTGCTGGTTGCTGTCTTAATGTTTGACATCTCTTCTACGGAGTACAGATACACAAGGGGTGATTGTGTGCAGCTACTATATACATAGGCCTTGGTTTACTTGTATCTGTTGATGGTTTTGGGGGAATGAGTTTAGTGTTACTTATATCTATCAGATGAGTCGATGAGGTCTTGAGCGATGGGGATGATGGGGAGTGTGGTTCTTTCTCGGGACTGCAAGGGCTACTAACTACTTCGTATATCTCTCGTCTATACGGTAGGTAGTCTCCGGATGTTGATGCGCGAATCCTTCCTGCGGCGATCCGAGTTCAATCGGAGGTAATTCTCTGAAGACAGAAACAGGACTCTTCATGAAGGAAGGCCAGGCTTTGATCGAGGAAACTGAGCCGAATCGACCTGTGCTCTGGACTGCAGTCTTGGATTGTACAACCCCCAAATCAAGGTAGGCAAGCAAACAGGCAAGCAAACAACATCCAGGCGGGAACGTTGGAAGTTGGAACAGAGGCGGAGAGGGGATTGTTCGGGTTGCGGGCTGAGGATTTGGATCTGGTCGGCGGTAGTACTGTATCCAACCGGGGGAAATCAGTTGGAACGGAGCATTGATGATATCATGGTGCGTTGGAGTTTATGTAGGGGGTCTTGGGGGCTTCGGTAGAGTGCAGGGGATGTATAGTGGGAGGATGCGATGTGAGGTGTTCTATACTGAGGATTGAGATGTCTATTTGTGTGGGGTGGACGGGTGGTGTATAGACCTCAGTGCGAGATATATATGGCAGGATGAATGGTACCATGGCTACCACGCCGAGTACGGAGTATATAGCAGTGATAGTCTGGTCGCTACTCACGGAACTGGAGCACTACTAGGAGTACAAGTACCGAGCAGATCGAATGACTGGACTACCCTTACAGCAAGTCCTCCTGCAGTGCAGTACTAGTTCAGGCCCCCAATAAGCATACCATCTCCTGCAAGTGCGTGCGTGTGTGCACTTGTGCTGTGCAGGTTCGCCTCTCCCCTCCTTCTCCCACCTCCAAATGGGTCTGTTTGCAGCCAGCCAGCATACATGTATGTATGTACTGTATGTACATGGACAGACATCTTACTGGTACAGGGGTACTCCATAATGCGCTCACGAACCCGCCGGTGTGTCTGTTCGTACCCATACATACTTACCGATAGGGTGGTTGGATTCTGAGGCGAAGAGAGAGGGTCGTCACGGGATGAGCATGAGCGAAATACTTACTAGGTGGTCAAGCGCGCGGAACTTTTCCCCCTACTCTCTGTCAATCAACCTCTGCAGTAGGCAGTAAGCAGTAAGCAGTAATCAGTAGTTAAGGCTGCTTCGATTGAGTTTGGAACGGGATTGTCCTCTTGTAATCATAGGATAGCCCAATTGGGAATTCTCCGAGCTGACGCTGACGACAAGATGGGATTGATACATCTGGTGTCTCATGTTTTTTTTCTCTGTGTGCTTACCGTGCTTCCCAGGTTGATGATGCTGATGAGAGGAGAAAGGTCTAGAGGGTTATGGAGTCGGTTCTGGGGGTGATGATTGGGGGGTAAGTTGAGCAGTGGTTGGTTCTAGCCTTGATTGCTTTTTTTACTTCTAAGTATCTACAAGGGGCAGAGAGGGAATTCTGGAACTAGTTACTCAGTGCTTACTGGTTTGATGATCAAGTGAGACTGAAAGTGACTTGCTGCTACTGCTACTGCCACTGCCACTGCCAGGTTTCGAGGTTGCTGGCCCGTGCAACCGACGACAGCTTCCGGCCTGAGCCCTGCCCTGCCCTGCCCTGCTTTCCAGTACCGTAGCTTTGCTGCTACTCCAGGCTGTCTGCCAGTGCACTGCATCCAACGTGGCAGCAGAGCAACCAATCATCAGCCGCTGGCCCAGTCATCCGAGCCGCTAGTCCCCATCCGGACGAACCGCCCTGTCATTGGTCTGATCTCCATCGCCTCACTTTCGGATCCATCATGGATCATGGATCGATTTTCTTACTCCTTTTCCTGGCAGTTCGCATGGCAATTCACGGTCGGTCATCCACTACGCACAGAAGACTTTCCACCTGCTGGGGAATAGAGTTGGGTTTGAATCGAAGGGACGGTTGAACAACAACCACACAACAACAGTGTTCGGGAGAGTATAGCATCATCGGATTGGAAAGACGGTGTAGTTCTAGTCACTCCTCCACTGTCGAAGATCGTTGTCGCAAGTGTCAACAGGGCACGCCCTCCCGCCTGTCCCCTGTTTGATTCGACGTTTCGTATAGATACCCGTCTCAACTGAGTAACCAAACCCACCTGCCTGGCTGGAAGGAGGGGAGAGTAATAATGTAGAGGAGAGGATGAGCTGGCACTACTCATTGAGTCGACTAACAGAGTCTATACCTATACACCAAAGTCACAGTTTCCCGTCTAAGTTCTACTGTCCCGACCACAACAACAAACTGTCACTCCCATCCATCTATCTAACCCTCCGCCCCCAAGATCGGTCGTGCGTGCCCTGTCAAGCACACGAAACAATGGACCAGCACTCGGGAGGACGCCTGGTGGGGCTTTCCCTCATTTTTAGGGAAATGGATGAGCCGGAATGAGGTAGACAGTAACGTTAAAGGTTGCTTTCTTTGCTTCTTCCTGCTCATAAAATCCCTCCAGCCTCATTCTGACCACTCGAAACTCAAGCCAACGGGGCGCACGAGAGAAAGAAGGAAAACAACGAGTGACAAAAAGTGACGAGTGGGAAGAGGCAGAGATGAGAAGTGAGAGATCCTTTGTGCTAGGTCGCTAGTCTAGTTGCTATTTACTAGGTAGCCTAGGTAGCTTTGGGAACTGGGTTTCTCGCTCGGGGGGAGGGAGGCTGGAACCAGGGTCAGGATCTTGGTCTGTTGCTCGAACCGTCGCAGGCCATATGGAGAATTGCCGCCCCGTTCCAATCCAGCAATCCCGGGGAGAAACTGGTAGTGGTGGTGGTGGTGGTGTGTGTGTGTGGCAGTTTCGGGTGCCAATGAGACAGACAGACACTCAAGAGGCGGCGGATTTATTCATCCCAGACTCATTCTCATTCCCAGTTGCATCCCGCGTGCAGCCAATGGATCCCAAAGGAGGGGGAGGGGGAGGGAGGGAGGCGAGCCTGTCGAAACCTTTCCCATCGATTCCGCCCGGGCCAGGCTGGGAAGTGGATTTGTGGTGTGGGAATTGTGGATTGTGCATGATGTGAGTGGAGCCCTTTTTGTATTATTTTTATTATTATTTGGGAAGAACTAATAAATCGGGTGGTCCAAAAGAACAAGACCTGTCACACCTACACCGCCTCTGATGTTGAAGATGTGAGATGTGATGTTTTGATGATGCTGGTGCTGGTGCTGGTGCTGATGATGTTGTGGGTTATTGATGATGTTGTGATTGTAGATGTAGGTTAGTTAGTGGCTGTACGGAGTAAAAGATATACTTCGACTCCTCATCGTGGTGGTTGATTCTTTGTTGTGGTTCCCTTTCTATTGTCTTGTCTGCTGACCTCCTCTTCCTCTTCCTCTTTCTTCCTTTGCTTCCTAAGGTTTCCTTCCCTCCCTTCCGGCTCTGTCCGCAGTCTGCAATCAAACAAGACACTCACTCCCTTGCCTTCCACTTGTCTGACTATGGCAAAGCATTCTATCTACCGTACTATCTACCTCTTACGTAGGAGCGACCAGAAAGAGGGAAGGGGTGGAATGGGAAAATCATGGATCCGCCCAGGCTCAGCTCTTTCATACTCAGTAACATATTATTGTTCGCCTCCCTCGGACCCCCATCCAGTCTGATCCACTCTCCATCCAGTCTAAGCATCATACATTGTTAGTCGAGTGGAGTGTGGGGTTCTTAGGGAAGGTCTGCAATCCCGTGTGATTCGCCTGGGAACCGCTGCGGTGGCTCTGGCCACGAGTCTAAACTCCGTGGAATTAAATTCACCACCTCCTTATCATCCCGCCCATTTAGTCCTACGCATAGTAATTCCTAGTAATTCCTAAGTAATTCCTAGTAACTATTTATTTTTACTGTTGGACTACTTATTTTTACCTACTTTACCTACTTACCCTACTCTATTATTCTACCTTCCCCGTATTGATTTTCCCGTTCCTCTCCCTCCCTCCCTTCCTCTCTCTCCTTTTCCCTCGCCCGTTCCCCCCTCTTCCAACTCTCTCTCTCTCTCTCTCTTTCTCTCCCTCTCCCCGCCTGTCTGTCTGTGTCTGGTTCCGCGTCTGTTTTAGTCTCTGTCCCTCCCCCTTTCGATCGGTGTATCTGCTTCTTGTTTCTTCTTTCCTTCTATACTTAAATAGTTGGTGCACCTTATCCTCCCCCCCTCCCCCTCTCCACCCCCTTTCCCTTGCGCATAACACAACACCACACATACATCCCTCCCACCCACTACTCTTCACTCGCCTTACTCGCCTTACTCGCCCATTATTAACAGTCCGTCCATCGGGCCCCCATCGGATCTACAATCTTCAACCTTCTGGATCGCGCATCAACAACACTTCCGCTCGGATTGCCACTGGTTTCTCACGCCTCCCCCCACTAATAGAGAGGCAAAAAAAAAACACAAAGGGCAAAGGAGATTAATATTCCACTCGCACCTCGACACACCATCCATTGGACATTCACCCCTAGGATCTTGATTGCCCGGCCTATTTGATCGACTTCCAGATTCCCTTCCTTCAATGGCTCCCTGAAGTTATCTCAACTGGACAGAAAGGCGACTACTCTCTTTCCCCGTTTCTCTGGACCTTGGATACCTTGACTTTGACTTGACCACCGTCCCGCCACCCGGATTTTGGACCCCAGGATTTATATCAACGATCCCTTACTGTGTCTCTGCCTCCTTCGCCCTTCACTTTACTTTGACAGAGACTCGTGTGTGTCTAACACCAGTCTCTTCAACCTCCCGTCCTCATGCTCATGCTTCCCCCTTCCCCCGTCTACGGCATGTATCCCCCCATGCTGCCCACTCCGCCCCCCACTCCGCCCGCGCGCTGCTATGCTCCGGAAGACCGCTTGGGACTGCTCCTGGCCAACCGGCTGGAGCTCACCAGCATCCTGGGTGTAGGCGCCTATGGTGTGGTCTACACGGCCGTCGACATTCATACCAATGTCCTGTATGCTGTCAAGGCCCTCAACAAGTCCGGACTGGATGCTCGTCAGCTCAAGTTCCAGCAGCGGGAGATCAAGCTACACCATATGGCCAGCCAGCACCCCAACGTGGTCTCCCTGGTACGCATCATGGACTCGGTGGACTGCACCTACGTGGTCATCGAGTTCTGCCCCGAGGGTGACCTGTTCTCCAGCATTACCGAGAAGGGCAACTTCGTGGGCAACGACTTGCTGGTCAAGCGCGTGTTCCTGCAAATCCTGGATGCCGTCCACTTCTGCCACTCGATTGGAATCTACCACCGGGACCTGAAGCCGGAGAACATCCTGGTGACAGAGCAGGGCCTGACGGTCAAGCTGGCGGACTTCGGTCTGGCGACCACCGACTATCTGACATCCGACTTTGGTTGCGGGTCAACCTTCTACATGTCTCCAGGTATGTGTTCTTTGGTTTGATGGTCGGGTAGAACAGGCCAAGTATTGCCATGGACAACAGCTGACTTGACCATAGAATGCCAGCAACCAAGTTCGCGATCGGTGACGTGCTACGAATCAGCGCCTAACGATGTGTGGAGTCTCGGGGTCATTCTGGTAAACCTGACGACCGGCCGCAACCCGTGGAAACGGGCCTCGATTGAGGACTCGACGTTCCGCGCATATCTCAAGGATCCGTACTTTCTCAAGTCCATCCTGCCCCTGTCCGATGAAATGATTTGTATCCTAAGCCGTATCTTTGAGTGCGACCCTTCCAAGCGGATTACCATCCCGGAGCTCCGCCAGGTGATCATGGATTGCCCGCGGTTCACCATGAACCCTGTTATCCCCTGGGCCAGCGGACCCGTTGACTATCTCAACCCCGTGTCCGGGCCCGTGGACACGTTCAACACGCAATCTTCCGTTTCCTCTGGATCCTCTCAGTACTCCGACTTCTCGAACTCAGTGGTCTCCAGTGCTTCATCCTACACGGAAGGCTATCCCGACATGGACAGTGTCTCGTCGATGTCTTCTGTGGGATTCGAGACTGAAGACTGCAAGGACTTCTACCCTACGGACCCGATCCAGGCGCCTGAGGGACACGTCATTCCTTTCAGTTTGATTCCTGTTTATTGAATCATCCAAAAACAAAAACAAAAGCACTTTACGCAGGTCACGATTAACGGCATTTGACATCCGTCTCTACTGGGTCACTGTTCGACTGTATTTTTCCACAGGACAGCCAGGAGATTTCACTTTTCGACACTACATTCTTTGGACATACGCCTCCTTCCGGATTGGATTTATTATACCCTATTTGTTTTGGCATAAATTGCCTTTTCAGTTGATGCAGCTACAGCCTTGTTCTTGAGGATAGGCGGCCGTGGATTGTTTAATAATGGTTCCACTTGGGTGGAATTTTGCTTGGGTTGACTCGGGGATACACTTGTTGGCGTTGAATTGGGCGACGGCATTGAAAGAAAAGAAAATACCCCGGATATATTGGAGTTGCCTTTTGATCTTATACATAATTACATAGTGTGGTTTGATGCTTGGTTGGACTGGCAAGTGGCAAGTGGCACAGGTAACTTATGGCAACGTTTGATTCTTGATTCTTTCGATTATGGCAACGTTTTACTAGTTGCCTTACACTTCTTGACAACATTCACACATTGACAACATTATGATGGACATACTTGTACTTTTATTTCACTGTTGCAACTGTTGAGTTGTTAGGTAGATGCTGCTGGCTTGTGTTACTGCTGAGGTCATGCGTGATGTTAGGCAAGCGCAACTCAGGCAGCTATGGTTGTTGCCTATATGTACATTAGTGTATTGAAGCGACTTCTGACTCGCACTACATGGTTTTTATATAGACTCAGCATAGTGCTATAGGTAGACGACATGGCTCCATAGTAGTTAGTAGACACAGCTTTTACTCCACTGTTATCAGTGTTCTTATCCACCATATGAACCTTAAAATAAGGCAGAGACACAGTATATACTCCTTGCCACTGCACACTATGTACTAGCATCTAAGTTACAAACTATAGATCGACCCCATCCCACACTACAGATACAAAAGCCTTCGCCCCCCCAAAACCACCCAAAACCACCCAAGACCAAGACCAAGACCCAAAGCAAAAACCAAACCTACATCTACATATTCCTCCCCCCCGTAACCCGAACCGTCTCCCCAGTCACATAAGCAAACAACGGACTCGCCACCGCCAACACCACCCGCGCCGCCTCCTCCGCACTCGCCGGCCTGCCGAGCGGAATATCGGGATACTGTGTGGCGGCCCGCCCCTTACCTGAAGCTGAAGCTGAAGCTGAAGCTGAAGCGTTCCCGTTCCCATCCCCATCCCCATCCCCATCCCCATCCCCACCATCCCTTGAAGAGAAGGAGGACCCCCCCCGCCGAGCAAGCAACGCACGCCCCGGGATCCCCAACGCGACCCGCTCCCCGCCCGCCGTGACCATGACCGCCCCGTCCTCCTTGGGCCCGGTGAGGCGCGTCCGCACGTGCCCGAACGCCACCGTGTTGGCGCGCACCCCGAACCCCGGCCCCCATTCTTTGGCGATCGTCTTGGTCAGTCCCGTTATGGCGGCTTTGGCGGTGCTGTAGTTTGCTTGGCCTCTGGGGGGTGTTAGTGGGTGATTGGGGGGAGGCTTAAGGATTAGGGGGGCTGGGTAGGCTAGGCTAGGCTAGGGCAAGGGTTGATTTGGGTTGGGTAGGGTAGGGTAGGGTAGGGTAGGGGGCGTACGCATTCCCATGCACCCCGCTCGTGGAACTGATATTCACGATACACCGGGGTTCGCCGTCCTGGAGCCGGAAGAACGGGGCGGCGGCGCGCACGAGCTGGAAGGGCGCCGTCGCGTGGATGGCGAGCATGCTGGTGAATTGCGGGGTTGTCATCTTTCCATAAGTTCGGTTCCCTTTCGGTTAGTGGCCGATCTTATCTTTCTGAATAAGGAGGAGGACGAGGACAGGGACAGCGGTAAGAGTGGAGGGGTGGGTGAGGGTGAGGGTGAGGGTAAGACTACCTTGTGAATCACCCCGTCCCAGGTAAACCCCGCGTTGTTGACGAGGATGTGGATCTTGCCGTTCCCGAACTCGGCCGTCTGCTGGATGAGGGTGTCGATGTAGCTTTCGTCGGTGAGGTCGCCGGGGAGGGCGATTGCGGTGGCGGGGCCGTGCTGGGTGTTGAGGTCGCGGGCAAGGGCGTGGGACTTTTCTGTTGCGGGGGTTAGTGGCTTTGCGTGGTGCTGTGCTGTGCTTTGCTTTGCTGGGCTTTGCTTTGCTTTCCTTGGGAGGGTAAGAGGAAGGGTAGGTATTATCTCAATTAAGTAGAGGTAGGGCAAGCCAAGGTAAGCCAGAATCTCTAACCCAGAACTTGACCCAAGTGATCCAAGTTGCTCCAAGTAAAGCAGCGCAAAAGCAGCGCAACAGCAACACAAAGGCAAGGCAGCAAACTAACCACCATCCACATCGGCAATGACCACGCGCGCCCCCTCCCTCGCGAACAGCCGGGCGGTTTCGGCGCCGATGCCCTGCGCGGCGCCCGTGATGAGCGCGGTTTGGTTGGCCAGGAGGCCCTGGGGGTAGGTTAGCTGGGTGGATAGCTGGGTAAGCCGGTTCATTCTGCTGGTTTGGAGGGGGTGTGAGGTTGAGTTTGGGTGGATGTTGAATGTAGGGTGTTGTATGCGGATAGGAGGTATAGTTATTGGGTGGTGGTTTGTGGTTTGTGGTTTGTGGTTTATGCGGGGGGAATGGAGAAGATGCCTCGGCCTCGGTCCATACCCACTCTAGCCGAGAGCCGTTCTTTCGGAAGTATTATAAAGTACAAGCATGCGATGCAATTGAGAAAACCTTACATTGCTATTGATGCAAAACGTGGTGGGAATCTCTACACAACTATGACATAGGCTTGGGGCTTAGACTTACACTAGGCTGAGAAAGTGACCTGGGCTGAAAGTTCATCAGGGTCGCACATTGCTTACTTTGTTACAATCCCAGGTAGTATCCTCCTCCCTCGTGTTCAACTGTAGTACTCATGATGCCCTTCTCTCCCGACTCCCTTCTGTCCGTTCGTCGCTCAAAAACCACTTTCAATTGTACTACACCACAACTCTAGAAGGATGGGTATCACTAACTTCACCGACTACGTCCGATGGTGCCTCTCACAGCACCCACAACAACACATACAGCCACCCCCCGCCATCGCTTGCAGAAACGCCTCCACCGTCGCATCGTGTCCCGCCAGGATCTGCAGGATCAAATCCCCGTTCTCGAACGCCGCCGTCAGATCCGTCGCCCCCGTCGCCGTCGCCCCAGGGCTGCCGCTGCCACCACCTCCACCGCGGATGAAAAGCTCCTGCCGACTCACCTCCGTCGTCTCCTGCAGTAGGCTCACCACCTCCCGACACTGCAGCAGCCGGCCGCGCAGCAGAAACCGCCGAATGCGGCGCGTCTCGTCCAGCGCGATCTCGTACTCCCCGTAGCCCACTAGCACCCCGGGGTCGTTTGCTGGTGACGTGGACGTGGCGGTCGATGCAGCAGCAGCAGCAGCAGCTGCTGCTGCTGCTGCGGTGGTGGTGTTTCCTGTCAGGGACAGCTCGTAGGGAATGGCGAAATCAAACAGCTGCACGGTAAAGTCCACGATCGAGGCAGCATACAGCAGATGCGTGCCGTCTTTGGGACAGCCAGGACACTGCAGAAAGATGCGGCACGTCGCCAGCGCGGTCGCGATGGCTTGCAAAAGCAGATCAAACCGCGGGTGATGCACCATCGTCGTCACGGACCGCAGGCGGTTCATGTGGAACACCAGCGCGTCGCCGCAGTCGCACGTCGGTTGCATATGCACCGCCAGTGGACAGCTGGTGATCCCCTTGGTGATGAACTCCTTCTGCAGGAAGATCGGCGACATGGACGACGTAGCGGTGGTGGTGGTGGTCGTCGTCGTCGTTTGGTCGAAGATGGACAGCTGCGGCGGAGGTGGTGGTGGCGGTGGTGGTGGTGGCACGTATCCCCCCGGCGGCGGACCCCCCATGCAAGACGGATGAGGATGAGGATGATACCCGAGATGCTGCGCTGCGGCGCACGACTCGTCCAGTAACGAGGAGACGTCCGTCATGCTAACTCCCTGACTATCAGGACTGTTAGAATGGCTGGGTTGGCTGGTATCCTGGGGACTCTTTGCATAGCAATCGAGAAGAACCTCATTAGCTTTCACATCCAAAAGCACACACCTAGTAAAGAGGTAAAGTGGGCAAAGACTCACCGGCTCCTCCAAGATCCCATCAACCACCGAAGGTGGCTGACTCGACACAAACGGCTCAATATAATTCCACCCGCCATGGAGATTCCCACCCCCACCGGGACCACCGTCTCCTCTTGAAATCATCGGCTTCCGTTGCTCCGGATGCTGATTCTGTTGCTGTTGCTGCTGCTGCTGCTGAAGCTGCAACTGCCCCAATTTCCGTAACGTAGCCCGATTCTTACTCCCCTTGGGCTTCCCAGACCGATTGGCAACGCGATACCGACATGTCAACCCATGTCGCAGACACCGGATGCACGCCGACGAGGACGAGGGCGACGAGGAGGGGGCCTCCTTGCCCCCCGACACGGACAGGTTGCATTTCACCTTGGACTGGCGGCAGTTCTCGCACGCAGCCCGGAGTTTCGGGGTGTCGAGAATGTTGGTGGCGCCAGGGCCGGTCGTGCGAGCGGCGTGATGTTCGGTCTTGAAAACCGAGTGTTTTTCTGCCAGCATCTATCCTTTTTATTTTCTCCGTGGATGTTAGAGAGGGAGACTTGTTTTGGTAACTTTGTTTCGTGGGGGGTGTGCGAGCGCGCGTGTAGCTGTGGTTTTGTGTGACCTCCCTCCTTTAATATTCGTGAAAGGGTGGTGGTGGTGGTAGTAGTGGTGGTGTTGTGTCGAGTACCTCCGGGTTAGGGTTGTTGTTTGTTGTTTGTTGGTTTCAATCGCGAGTTCTAGAAATCAAAGGGAAACAACAATGATAGAACACCATGTACAACAAACATACATACACACACAATACAGGCAGCGCGACAGTTTGCCAAGCAGAAGGGAGAAGCCTGCGATTTCTCAATTCGAAAGTTATCGAACTGAAATCGGGGAGATCACCTTTTTATATATACTTCATATGCTTTTCCGAGCAAGAAATGTATAATATAAGCTTGAATCCCATCAACAGCAGCGCGCGCGCATTCTTATTTATATCGACCACCCACAGTGCTAGTCTTCATACACCCTTCCCCCTAACGCTGGGCTCCCCGTTGCTTGGTTTGCTGGCTGCTGGCGGCTGCTGGGCTGGGGCTGACTGACTGACTGACTGACTGAACTAAATCGAATCGAACTGACTGGCTGGGTGCGGGCTGGCCCAAACCTGCAAGACTTGAACTTCGTATCGCGAAATCCCTAAATGAACGGTAAGCGCAGATGAAGTCAGCCGTCGTGACACCTTAAATCATTCCATCTGATCCACCTCGCATGGGGGGAAGGGAAGAAGAAAAGCCGGGGGCCCTCGCGAATCTGAGCGTCGTCTTGGTTTCTGGACATGTGTGTGTCCAACTGACCTGCCTGTGGATTATTTTTTGCTTCGACATTCTTTATCATCTTACTTGTCGGAAAAGAAAATACACACTCCAAAAACAGAAAAAGAAAATCAAAATCAATCTGCCAGATTCGATTTCGGCCATCGTTGCTTGGCCACCACAGCGGCCCAACCATAACCCTCGTCTATTTTCTAACGTAAGAGGTCCAACAAGATAATAAGCTCAAGTGCAACATTGCCTTCGTTTGTTCGGCAGGCCCAGTCAGTGGGCGGGAAGGGAGTTCACCCTCTCTCACTCCTCCCCCCAACTTTAATGCAAATTCTGCATGAATCAAGATATCCAAACTGTAAGGCGAAAAAAGGCTATTGTCTCTGACGTAGCATCTAATAGCACTGGAAAAGAAAATCGGTAGGCAAGCCAGCGCATACCATGTGAGCTGTAAGACTGATTGCGGGATTCGCCTGCCCGGTTTGAAATGTCGCAGGGCAAGCGGTGAACATCTGAATAGATACCCTTAAGAAATTCACAGTTATAAAATGTTGCAATGGTCAGCAAAGAAATGTGGAAATTGAATTGTTAGACAAAATGTCTCGTATCCCGTGTTTTGACGTCAGCGTCTATTTCTCAGCTCATCTTTGCGCTCTAGTACTAGGGGTAAAATGTCAGTCGATTATGGCTAGATTTCCGAAGATGGTGACCAGCAAAGGGCCCCTTGTGCGATCCTAGATCCCCTTGCCGGCGAATCACCGTCAGCTCCAAGCACAGCTGGCGGCGAACCCGCTGTGTCTGTAATCAAACGCCTTCAGCAACCCGGTCAGATGAGCAATTGCGGCGCAGACCACCAGCACGTGAAAAATCTGATGGGAGCTTCCCCACAGATCGAATTGGCCGGGTCGCAAGCGTTCGGGGACCCGAGCCGCATAGATCGCTGCCCCCAGGATGTACAGGAGACCCTGGAGCACCAGCCAGCCGAGTCCGATCTGGCGTGTCATCTGCCCTAGCCCGTACAGGCGTAAACCGTGGATCACGGGAAACACCGCTGACAGGCCCATGCCGACAAACATCGCCGCCCGGAACGGTCGCCAGCCTGGGGTCCGGAATTGAGGGAAGATCGAGACGACGACGCAGCCAAGGCCAATCGTGCAGATCATGCTCCAGTAGAGCCGTTGCAGCGCGGGCTGACAGTAGAAGCCAAAGTAAACGCTGGGGATGAAACTGCCCACCGTCAGCCCCACAATGCCCGCGTAGTCGAAGGCGTTCCCGATGCGCGCCACCATGGGCGAGTGATTCGAGATCGTGTGGTAGGTGGCAGACATGCCCAGGCAAAAGGCCGCCCCGGCGAAGAAGCAGCCGAAGACGATCACGTCCGCCTGCGTCGCCGTTTCATACCGGGGGGCTAGTGCCCGATACAGTGCGAAGGCCGCCGGCACGACCAGCAACGATGGCAGCAAGTGCGTGTAGATGTTGACCGTTTCATTGTGAAGATAGGTCAGGGACTGGAAGGAAACAAGGAAGGAAGCCGAGGCCGGCCGATACCCGCTATGGATGTGCTGGTTATCGCGCTGCCAATGGGGGAGCTCCTCCCAGTGAAGCAGCTTCTTGAGGACTTTGGGAGGCTGTTCCAGCACAGCAGCTGCCACAGCAGCAGGCTGACTCGTGCCCAGAACCTTCTCTTGGCCGTGGGTGGAGTGACGTTGGCGAGGGGCCATCTTCTTCACATGCAGCCTGCGGATACTGTATGTGGGCATGTATGTACAATGACAGATGGATTCCGGGATCTGTTTCAATTCCGTCGACGAGGTTGGCGAGGGAAGAAGAGGACCGGTGACCCTGAACTGAATAAGGTACCCAATATGGCTCGCTTCCAAGACCAAATAGCCCAGGAGTGACCGGGACCCCCGCTAAAATCACCGCGACCCAAAAAAGAGGTTGATGAGGACAAGAAAGTCGGTTGGGACTCAGCGGAAACTCGCCGCTTCCTCGGGCATTGTTGGGGGGCAAAGGACAAGAAAACAAACAGCGCAAACCCTGCAAACACCACCGCGATAGCTAGCATACGGTAGCTACGCTACGGTAGCTTCATCCCCACTCCGTCTCCCTCTTCCCCTCAAATCGTCACTCCAACCGGCTATTCACAACTCGTCGCTCCTTTGATTATGACTAGTCGAGCGCCCCCGATACGCAAAGCTTCCGGGAGTCGCCTGAAGCCCGTGGCAGACTCCCTGGAGACGGTGGGCTTCGTATCTAAAGGAGACCGGAAGTACGCCTGCGCGCCTTCCAACCCCCCACCTCCGCCCGGGCTGACATGCGCAGATTGCTAGACCACAAAGCTCAAAAGGAATATTATAAAAGTATTGTTGAAAGATATATGGCGTTCTGCGCTCTTCATGCGAAGGACATGGATGCTGCCTGGACATCCCTCCCCAGGAGCGCCTCGGATGACGCAACCAAGAACCCGCCTGCTTCCTTACCCACGAAACCAACAGGAACATCCACTCCTTCGGCAGCATCAGAGTTATCTACTATCCTGCTCTCCCTCAGAAAGCTCCGGGAGGCCGTCCTGGCCACTGCATCCACAATCCCTATCATTTTCTCCCAGCAGGTTCACCTGTTCTCCGTTAAGATCGCCATCCGAGCCCAACATCCTCCATCGTATACCCCCTCCCTCCGATACCTCATGGAAGAGCTCCACACTCCATCGCATCCACTTCCAGACTCCGATTTAAAGGAGGTGATATCGTACCAGATCCTTGATTCTGCTTGCCGGCAACAGGACTTGGGTGCCGCTTATGAGCTGCGTGCGCGGGCGCGCAGGAAATATGCATTCAATTCGTCCATGGTCGATGAGGTCCTGCACGCGCTGGCACATGATGACTGGGTTATATTTTGGCGCATCCGTAGGGGAGTAGATTCCAACATGCGCGCCGTCCTCAACTGGGCTGAGGAACGGGTTCGAAGGCACGCTCTCAAAGCTGTGGGTAAAGCTTATCTCAACGCCGATAGCAAGTGGATCACCGAAGGTTGTACCGGAGAGAAGGAGTTGACGTGGGAGAAGCTGGTGGAATTGGAGAAGCTCGGATGGGAGAAAGAAGGTGATAAGATTATCATTAGGAGGCCGAAGCAGAAACCCACCGTCAATCTGACCCCCATCAAGGAGGCTCTGTGATGGTGAATGGCCGAAAAGTGTTGTTATATCATTATATCATGGCTCGGCGAATTATGATTCAAGGTTATGGCGTCTGGCATAGGGTAAGATGCTTGAATTGGTTTAGCCATAGCACATGGATAAGGAGGGTTGAGCTGGAAGGGTTCTTCAACACTGTGCGGCCTGTGTCATCGATTGACATTAGATCTTGAAATCTGCACTTGGCCGGTCCAAGTTCAGGACTCCCGTTACTGGTTGTTTGGCTACAGTCTCGACAAGATCTGTTTTGAGCTTCCCAGCCTTCTCAGAGCACAGCTCGTAGATAGTCGATAAGTTGTACACGAGGCTTGGGAATGAATGCTCTTTTTGTATCAAGGATTCGAGAACTTCACGAGCCTAGAGCCGTAGTCAGCATTGGTTGCCAATCTATTATTATCACACTAGGGGACTTACCTCATTCAGTCGACCAGTGTACAACAAGCAGACTGCTAGGTTCTGCTGGATAATGGCTTCGTCAGGTCTTTGGCGCTCGCGCTCCAGCAGACTGCGCCATTCGTCGGCTGCCGTGCTATATTCACCCTCAGCCATACTGAAGAGGGCGTTGAAGAAGCCCTGCTCATTTTCACTGCCCTCGCTGCACAATAGCCTGGCACTGTCAAGATCGCCGATCAACACCAACAGGAGCGCCTTCCTTGCGTTGCGGGTTTCATTGTCTACGCCTGACATGCGCAAACTAGAGAGTGCCTGTTTGGCCGCATTGAGATCGCCCATTTCGATCAGTGCATTGACGTTCCGGATCCCCAAGTCCGCGAGCCGTTCCCTCCAGAGTTGCCGCTCCGCCGGATCAAGATCTGCCCGCAAGATCTCCCTTCTTGCCTCCAGGCCGATCTCATAAAGACCGCCAATGCCCCTTCGAGAGTCGCCGAACCCTATGCTTTGAAGTCGCACGGCTAAGGCCCTCAGAGGCCATGGCACAATATGGCGAGGATAGCTCGGACCTTTGTCGGATTTATCAGGTAGCGGCTCTACGTAGTAAAAAGCAGAGGTCAAGTCCTCCAGAGCTTTAGACTCCTGTGCGGCAATGATGGTATTCCCGGAAAGCTGTAGGCATGCCAACCGGGTGTAGAACAAAGCAAAGATGCGTTTGATGTCTGTGGGTTTGATCAGAGAAGACGCCAGTATCGTTCCACTGAGATGAGCTGCCAGTAAGAAATGGCCCTCCGTCAGGAGTTTCTCGAGGTTTTGAAGAGTCGAAGATAATGACTCGCTGGAGGCTGGAACGATGAATTCGGAGCGCAATGCATGTGGGATGTCCAGCTGTGACAGGGAGTGATAGATCTCATAGCGAAGAAGGAATGAGAGGTCTTTCTCCACGGTAGGTGGCAGATCATCAGGAGCAAGTGGATCCAGATTCTCAAAGGAAACACCAGACAGCTCAGTTTGAGCTGCCGGGCAGGATTGCCTCAGTGTGTTCACCGTTTCGGTGCCGAGTGGACTGGCTTCATCAGCTTCTTCCTTGACATTGACAAAGTACATCAGTCTGCTTACTCGTCTATTTGGTCAAGTGGACCCTTTGTCGTACTACGAGGTCGGGAAGCTATCATACATTAGCGGGAGACGACCACTACTTCATCTGAGACTCCTTACATCTAGAAGCATTGCGGCTATGCCTGGAAACGGCTTCCATGTCTGGGGCCAAAAGTAGGGGATGCAGAGGCCGAAGAGCATGTACGACAGGACATATACCAGTACCAAGGACCAGGCAGCAAGCTATGTCGCAAACAATGACAAGTTTCGCGGTGCAGAGATCGATGCAAGCAATACTTGCAGAAGAGGTTATGTTGTCTGGAAGGCGGAGCGTCGACCATGGGTGGCAGTAATGCGGGAGCCCGGATTCTGCCCCGGTTCTGTCAGAGCGGTGAAAGGTCGGTCGGATAGACAAACTGGCCCCATCATCAACTGTCAATCGCGCTACAATTTACCCCGTTCCCCAACCTAGGATACTGCAGATCAGCATAAAAGAGATCTATCTGATAACGCACAATCGGTCACTCTTACTTTCTTACATCTCCTCTAAGTTACCACACAAAGCTCTTTCTGAGCCAAAAAAAAACTACTGGATCGCCACCATGACTCTCGCCGAGGAGTTCCGCACTAGAAACTTCAGTATGGACCTGCATTGTTTACACTTTGGCTGATTCAAAGACAGAAAGAGCTAACATCTGTTCGCTTAGGTATTTACGGTCAATGGTATGTCGCGCTTTTTCAATCCAGTGACTTCTGTACAATTCAACCGGCTGGGAGCTTCGCAACTACAATGCAAGCGAAAGAATAACTGCTGCCTGGCCCCCAGCATGGACGCTTGGCGCCTCCGTGATGGGAGCTCATTCAACACCCGCCTGCCAAAGCGCCCAAGCATGCGATACCTGAGGAGCCCTATCGAAGCACGATATATGAGCGGGAGCTGGGAGACGTTGAATCGCAGGCCAGAAGCGCTAATTTGATCTAAACTAGGACCGGTGTTGTGTGCATCATCCTATGCCTGGCTCTCGGCATCGCCAATATCTTCAGTTTCAATGCGGTGATCATCATCTTCAGCGTCCTGTGTCTGTAAGTGGCTTGGTACCCCGCAAAACTGGAATCTGGGACTCACATGTATTGTGCAGTATTTCCGCCTTCATTCTCATCTTCACCGAAGTACCCTTCCTGCTCCGAATCTGCCCGACCTCGCCGAAGTTCGATGAATTCATCCGCAAGTTTACAACCAACTGGATGCGTGCTGGTATGTACGCTGTTATGAGTGTGGTGCAATTTCTCAGTCTGCTCAAGGATGCCACCAGCTTGATTGCTGCGGCTGTTGTTCTCCTGATTGCGGCCATTTTCTACGCGCTGGCGGCCGTGAAGAGCCAAGAGTTTGTCAGCAGTAAGACACTGGGTGGCCAAGGACTCGCGCAGATGATTGTGTAGAGGCCGTAGGCTTTTGCGCAAAAAGGAGAAAACAACTTATACAATGTGAGCAATCTCCCGAGGTCAACGACAAGCTGATTCTAACGAGTGACTTCATTTAGTCAGAAAGTCAAATCATGGAATGCAAGGCTTAATGGGGCTGGAGTTGAGTGTGATGCGGTGATGAGCCGATATCGCGTTCGTGCTGCGACGGAGGGGCTATGCACTCCTTTGCTTTGCTTTGCTTTGCTTTTTGCAAGACCTAATTCAGCTTCGCTGGAGTCTGGGTTGCTGCTGATGCTTTGCTTGAGCCATTCCTATTACCTTGCCTTGTATCGGTCTGCTTTGTTTTTGGCATCTGCTACCTCGCTGAGGTCTTTCGTGATGAGTTTAGATGAAACCTGTAACAACTAGTAGTTCACCGCAGCGAATACCCTACCTACCAGCATCCTGGCGATGAATATGAAATTTGCTCTTTCCAAGGCCAATCGCATATACTCCGGAAAGTCTGTCACCCAGGAAAAGTGGACTAAGCTCGGGCAACCTTCTCTCGATTGAACCTCAGCCCTGGCCCTGAAAGGGCCTGCCCGGCTGTTTGCATTTCCCCTTGACCTCCCGGACGGCATCATGCATCATCAATAAAACCACGGGAATGCGATAGCCGAACTTCAACCACTCAATCAGCTTAGTCCCAGCGCCATCGCCAGTGATCAAGCTCGGTCGAGTTGAGTTCGAGCAATGCTCGTCGGAGTAGCTTTGTTCGTCGCACACGCCTACCTTGATTTATCACATTACAGCCGCACACACATATTACCATGCTAGTGCGAACAGCAACCACAAGTCCAACCAGTTTTCAACATTGAATGCCTAAGGGACAAGATCACTAGTGCATCCTCCGGGGCAATATCGATACGTCATACCTCTGCCCCCTTTCCCCTCGTTTTACCCCTCCATCTCCTCATCGAGTAAGAGAGAAGGCTTCCAGTCTTACCCCGCGCTTCCGGCGGCGCGGTTGGCGTCTGTGCTGACGCTATCCATGCATGTACGGAGAACGAATAAGTTGGAATGATCAGATCACGTTCGATGGAGTTTTCTGGGCAGCCCCGTCTCTCTCCTCCTTGCGATGTAGAGATTCAGAGGGGGACTGAAACTTGCGCAAGATTCTCCTTGGAAGTAACTAGCTTCGTTGTCCGGCTAGGCAACTACAGTAATCAAACCTACCTCACCTATCGATAATATACTGGGCCCCCGTCCCCCTATCATGTGTTGTCCGTAGCTTCGAGAATAGAGAACGCCGGAATTACGCTGATTGGGCCCTGGGATCGGGGATCTTCGAGCCCGAGTCATCAGGAGCTGAGTCCCTTGCTGATTGAGCCGGGGGCCGGATTGTCTGTGTTGATGTGCAGTGCCTAGAGACTAGAGTATGTCTCTCAGTTCTCCCTCGTGGTCTTTTTCCTGCATGCAGGGTGGGTACTTGGCGCTGATAGATGCGTATCGGATTGTCCGGGGGGTTGGGAGGAGGGAAGGGGGGTGGTAGCACGTACTTTACAGTACTTTACGGTGCTGTGCAAAGCGGAGAGTCGACGTCGGATCTGGTGATATGTTTGGGTTTGTTGTTGAAGTATGGATCTAGGCGCACTTGGAGGATGATGTGCAGCTATTGTGTGAGTGTTCTAAGTTGGTTTTGATGGATGTAACAGGTCATATAGTCGAGTGGCTACTGGATACTGGGGTATGTTTCTAGAAAACCACATAGGTACAGTACATTATGTGCCAAATTCGTATTGATTCTAGAATGAGGCCTTTCTATCAACGTACTAACTCGATAAGAAGCTACATAGTATTAGTTGGGTCCAGTCGGTACTAATCTCGCAGCCTTCTTTATCAGAACCGCCTATCGCAAACGCCCAGGATGATACCCCCCGTGGACGATAAGCGAACGGCGGCGAGCGATGGGCTTCATGATGCAATCATGATGTGGAGCCGGTTGAGTCCAGGCTGTTCACCGCCTCGGCGCTGGTGGGGTTTTGGTTGAGAGGGGGTTACTGAGGATGTGGCCAGTCACATCCAAGTCGATACAATCACCTTGGATGCGATACGAAGTACGGAACACATACAGTACTATCGTTTACTTTGCCCAGTAGTGTAGTCGAGTAGTTTCTCAATTTGTCTCGGCGTGATCATGACTCCCGAAGTGATGTATCGGAGTTCTCAATGCCTGCTGGCATTAAAGAGGCCCAAGCCTCTGCAACAGACTGACTAGTTGATGATATGCACACTTCCTGTGACCCATTGAAGCTGTTCACCATGAGGGATATTCTGCATGTTCTTCCCTCCCTTACTCGCCCAGCACATCAGCTGTGCGACATCCGACAACCCTCGAAACAGGCGATCAGGCCCATGTGCATGGCAGCCAGCCAGCCCGCACCGCCACATGAGGGGTTACTTTACTACGTCCTCGTCGTATTGGCATTTGCGCCAGAGAAAAGGTGGTGTAAGCTCTTGCTTAATACAGAGTACTGTACTTCGGGAGCTGGAACTGAATCGTCCCTATCAACTGGCGGCTATGCTACGACCAGGGATAGAAAACACCCTTTAATATTCCCGTGGAGTTAAAATTGTACTCAAGGTACCTGGCAGCCGGGGCTGCTGTCGCATACCAAATCACTAGACTACTACTACCACCACCACAAGCAGCAGCAGCGTGGCGCTTGTGGCTCACAGCTCATCTGGACCATGGTCTGGCCCGGCCGCATTATTTTTTTTTATCTCACTGCTCCTTTTCAGTATGGGGTAAGGTGTAATACAGAGAGGGATTTTCAGTTTTCACGCAAGTCAGTCCTCTCCACTGTCACACGAAATAGGGCGAGGGATTTTTGGGTTTTTACGTCTGTTCATATTTAGCGACGGTTGAAATGGGCCAAATTAGTTCGCCGGCGGATCATCAGGTTGATACCAAGTTTCGACTGGTGGGAGGGAGAGAGAGAGGGGAAGGGGCGCAAGCTCTGCTGGTCAGTATGAGCTATTAATGAGCTCTCGTGGATGCCACCGGCGCAGAACCACAGAATAGTTACTAGATGCTCATCGCTGGGGTTAAATACTAAAGATGCCTAAAGTTTTTAGGTACGGTAGCCGATTCTTATCCTGCAATCCTATGTTCCGCGCATGAGGAGTGGACAATGCAGGCGGTAGAGATGGGGGGAAAATGGTTCGAGATATACGATGCCAACGATTGTAGGAATATTCGAGGGTCCTCTGGCTGATGGATGTACTGATGACTCCTTACTATCTGGTCGGGCCATTGGCTCTATCCAATGACCTTTCGATACAATGGAGCTTCTAATCAGTCTCACGATGGTGGAACGGGCAGGTATCTCAAAGAAAGATCTGAAGGGGACACGAAGATCCAGAACCAATGACGGAAGGGTAGATAGAAATGGATCGAGAGGAAAAATGGTAAACCTAAAAGATGGACCTGGTCCTGGCAATTCAAGGTTCAAGGTTCAAAGTGTTGAACTGAACTTTTCACTCAGTTACTTAGTAGTTACTGTACTCGATCGAGTACGGGCGTAATTGCAACCAACCAAGGTCGTTGGCTCACAGCCTGACAAGGGCGCATACAGTTGATACAGCAGTTGATACAGTTGAGGATACATTGGGGCGCCGTCGGAGAACGTCACGCGATGGGGCGGTGGGCCGTGGCAGGAAAGAATGCGGTTAGTCTGCCGTTACGGCCACTTTGCGGGAGTAATTTACTTTACGGAGTACGGAGTACAGGTCATACATCATACTCATATCTTCTGCCCATCTTTCCTCCCCCTCGGCTTCTGCCCGCTGAACTTCCTCCTCCCTGAATCCTCCTCCCACTTTCTCCTAAACTTTCCTCTCGTCGTCTATACTCTATCTCTCTACTGCTATCTACTGATCCCTTGTTCATACTTCGATCCTCAAGTCTCTTTCCTACTACTATAATTGGCGCTCGACTCCGCTTTCCCTACTGCCTATCCAATTGACGCCATCTGGTCTCCGTCTACTTGGGCCAATACTCCCTCCAAAGCTCGCCCGCATAAGCATAGCACCTCGCATGCTTCTTTTCCCACCCTTAAACCTCGCCGGTAAGCGAATCACTTCTACTCCTCTTATCAAAGTCCCCAAAAATCGACTGTTCCCCCTCCAATTTCGCAAATCTTTCATGTCTTTGTCAAGGCGCTGGCGGGGAATGTCAACGGTGAAAGAAGGTGATCGGTCACGCATCGCGTCTACCTTATCTACTCACTTGGAGAATATGTACATTCCTTACCCTAGATTGCTCCCCGCTCACATCTCAATATCCTTCTTATGAATTCCGATCTTGTCTCAAAAGCCCCTCCAGACATAGACAACGTACTGTCTTTCCCCCCTTTCCATGGCGAACCGAGTGCATATACGGTGACCGATGCAAAGCTGCCCTGTGCTAGCGTCGTCACCGGCCCAACCACTGACACGCACCCTCGCGCGGATTCATGTGACTGGGGATTTGTGTGCCCTCTAGATCCGTAATCAACTGACTTGACTGCCAGAGTTGATCTTCGAACTCAAATTCAATCTGTCATTTGCCTTCTAGCAACCAGCCATGACTACACAAGCAGCCCCCGCCATTCCTCCGCGGCCGTCGAGGTCTCCACAACAGGGTCTTGCACCCGCCTCAGCGGAAGGCCCCAAGATCCCTCCTCGTCCGTCCAATCGTGCTGAGCGCTCTGTATCTCCCTTTCCCGATAGCTACGCCCCGTCTCCTCTGAACGATTTGCCCAACGGATGGGGCCTGAAACGAACCACCTCGAATGACCTACCCCAGAGACCCCCGAGTGTCACGATACCTTCGCTCGGTCAAGAGGGCATTGAATACCAGGACCTGGATGTGGCCAATGTGTCCGAGGCTCAGCAGGCTACACCGCCAGAGACCCGGAACGTGGGAAGCGATTTAAAGCTTCATGCGCCAAGACCGTCATTACCCACTTCCAGCGCCAAGGCAAGGGTGCAGGCTGTGACACGTACAGACTCCCGTCAGGCTGCAGCAGCAGGCCTGGGGCGTGCTCCATCTCCTTCAAATGACGATCATCCCGAGCGGCCTACCCGCTCACTGCACTCGCGAGCCAGCGGCTCTCGTGGTGCCTCCTCAACCATGTCCGCGGATCGTCGACAGTCGTTCCACGGAGAGGAGCATGGCATTCCGGAGATCGGACAGAGAGTCCCGATGTACCCTAATGCAGGCGATGTGCAAGCTCCATCCCCCAGCCCTTACCTCGCCGAACCCCAGGAGAAACGCTCTGGACGCAACCACCACCGCACTCGCAGTGGCCGCGAGGCATCTCTGCCTCCTGGCAGCTACGGTCTGCATGGTCATGGTGTTCCTTCAAACGACAAGTTCGAGAAGGCCTGGTATGAGAAGCACCCCGAAGAATTCGTCCGAGAGGAGCAAGGCCAATATGGCCCAGGTGTTGGTACACCACGGCCCGACTGGGCCTTGAGCAGCGACGATCTGAACAAGATTGTCCGTGGCTCTGCAGTAAATGGTTCTGGGCTTGGTAAGTCCTTGGAGGTCTTTTGGTAATGGGAGATCGTTTCTGATTATGTGACGTACAGGTACATCCCCTGCCCTGGCGGGTACTCCAGATGAGGAGGTCGGCTACATTGCCTCAGACGAATACACACATCAGCTAGTGTCACCGGCACTCGACTCACGTCGTAATTCTCGACTCGCTGTTGAGTCACCTCTACGCAATTCGAGTTTTCCGGCTACCGATGCGCAAGCCCAGCCTGAAACTGCTGTAGAACAGGAAACCGACGACAAATCGACTCACTCCCGCGTCATTCATGTCGACGAACCGTATCACCATTTGCACCATCCGGACGGCTTCGCTCAGACTCCCGGTCCCGAGGAGCTCACCCACAACTTGGATGTCGAGGAAGAAAAGGCGGAGTCTATCCTGGCAGCTGACGAAGTACGCCCGGAGTCTGCCTTCCAGCACCCGGCTGTCTCGCCGACTTTTGGCCGAAATGGCAGTGTAGACTATGAAGGAAGAAGCCGCACTCCAAGCGTGACCCACAGCCGGTCGAACAGCAGGACGGCTAGTATTCACAGCGGTATGCCAGCTCTGGCGAGATACAACTCGCGTGACGAGCACGAAGGCACACATACGCCGCTTGAGGATGTCGAGGAATACGAACCTCTTTTCCCCGAAGACGAGTCTAAGGACCAGAAGCCCATCACTCCCGCAGAGCGCTTCAAGCAGCGTCCGGATCAATTGAAGCACCGGTTTCCCAGCCAAGACATCTGGGAGGACTCACCCAACAGCTTGCAATTATCTGCCACTGTATCTACGCCGGACATCCCCAAGGAGGAGGCTTTTGAAACACCGGAGCAGGAGTCGAATCGCAAGAGCCAGGCGCCTCAGATCGACGCTCATAAAGTCGCTTCACACATTCTGGGAACGGACGATCGGGAAGGCAGGCCTTCACGCCCGGAGATCTCTAAGCAGCGATTTCCGAGTCGAGATATCTGGGAAGATGCACCTGAAAGTCATACGCTAGTGACGACAGTCCAACCGGCAGATGAAGAGGTCAAGAGCCCGGAGGTTCCCTCAAAGCCCAGCATTCCCCTCCGGCCGCTAAAACGCCCGGGACAGGCCCCTCCGGTAGATGCTTCCTCGAAGCCGGTCACTTCCCCTACAGATAAGCGACAACCTCCCTCGATTCCCGACAGACCGAAGCCGCAAATTCCGGCGCGGCCCTCCAAACCTCTTTCGCGCGCCAGCCCTGAAGAGGCCAAGGATACTGCTGCTAAACCCAAGCCAGCCATTCCCGCACGGCCCGGTGGAAGTAAGATTGCCGCTTTGAAGGCCGGGTTCCTGTCCGACTTGAACTCGCGGCTCCAGCTCGGCCCACAAGCGCCCCCTAAGCCACAGGAGAAGAAGGAAGAGGAGGCGCCAGCCGAGAAAGTACCGCTCAGTGATGCCCGGAAAGGCCGTGCGCGTGGTCCCGCCAGGCGGAAGCCAGCTGTCGAAAAGACGCCCGCAAGGCTACCGACCATCCCCGAGGTCAAGATCACGGAGACCTGGAACGTGTGGCAAATGGGTGAAGACGGAACCCTGACCGTCGGTGACGAAAAACCGACCACAGCCCCGACACCTCCTCAGACAACCTCTCCGGAACCCATGGCACCTCCCATCGCCAAGAACCTTGCCGGTGAACCGGCCGAGCCCCAAGCTCCCACCGCCGCTTTCGAGAAAGGAGAAGCCCAAGACGAGCCAGTATCGCCTGGCGCCGTCGCTCCAGCTGCAGCTCCAGCAGACGTCAGCCTGACGCAAGAGACTCTGCCCGAGCCCGTACCGGAACCGACATTCACCGAAGCGAAGCACTCCATCCCGCTGGCCGACGACCACAGCACGGCCGCGCCGGCCCCTGCCGTCGATCCTGTCACCACAGACGATCTATCAGCCGGGAAACCCACCATCATGTCCCCGCCTGACCGATCGCCCATCGACGACATCGCAGCACGACTCTCTGCTTCTGCAGACGGTAAAAGGCCGTCGGAGGGTGACATTGGCGAGACCCTCGACAACTGAGACATTGTGTGGATGGGCGACAGTAAATCATCAGACAATCGCATGCAGTGTTTTTGTCCCAGTATCTTAATCATCTCTTTTCCTTTGCCGTGTGCTGGTGTGTGTCTGTTTGTCTTATGAACCCAATACCAGTTGATAGGAACTGTGTACAAAACAAACAGGAGCAGCAAGAAAACCAACACACCCTTGCGCACAAGGTAGGCAGTAGCCAGCCAAGTCGCATTACTGAATAGTGTACCTGTCCGTATGTAGCCACATACCTATCTATACACAACAAACAATAGATGAAGTCTCCACAGAATGTGCAGCCATCTTGAAATCAGCATCGCATCTATACCTCGCCTGCCGGCAGCTCGCGTTGCGTTATAGTTACACCCCTCAACATCCATGACTATCCCCTATCCTCGCACCATTTACCTCGTACGTATGGCAGCATAGTACCGCACCGCACCGCGCCAGCTCTATCCCAGATATAGTTTCGAACTATACTAGCCATAGAGCCCAATGTCTTCAAGGTTCCCCCCTTCCCTTCCCTTCCCTTCCCTTCCCTTCCCTTCCCTTCCCTCCTCAACTCTGCATTTCACCCCCAACAACATATTACAATCCAGAATCAGTGATTGGAACGTACGAATACGTACTACAGAGCAACAGTACAATCCACCAATACCCACGAGGTCACCTACATGTAGGCCGGTGGATATACAGTACAGTACAGCACAGTACAGTACACAGATTTCATAAACCCGAGTCCGCTTGGCATCTCAAGACTAACGGAAGTAGTTATCGGTTATAGTTATCCACATGACTGAATGACTGAATGACTGAATGACTGAATGACTGGCTGACTACCTGACTACCTGGCTAGCAAAGGCCCGCAGAAAGACGTTAAAAGGCACGATCTAACTTGGACGTCATGCTTCGGCCAGAGCATGAGGATAGGATACTGAAAGGAAGGGGAGGGAAGGGAACTCGGGAATGGATGGCATCGACCGATTGCTTACTCGGAAGGAACTCATAGCAATTCAAAGCAAGAAGGAACTCAAAGTAATTCCAAAGCAAAAAGAGACACACACAGAGTGATGTTAAACTGTCGCGGGAATAGAATGGATGTTTCATTTGTGGTATTCATAGCAACAAAAGCATGTATTATGAACACTTCGGTTAACTAGCTCTTCTTTGCTAATGGAAAATCTGGAGGGAGGGACTGGAAGGGGAGAGGGAGAGATTGAGAATAAGAAAGTACGGGAAATGTTTCTTTAAAAAAAAGGGTATCTTTTATTTGAGATTTTTTTTTGGTCTTTTTTCTTTTTTGTTTTGGTCTGAAGGCGCACACCAGTCATTGAAGGCTGAAACTAGATATACGGGGATTTGGGAGGAGGATGGGGGGACGCTAAAGTTGGGAAAGATTAGAGCAATTTTGAAGGCAGAGTGCGGCTGCCCGGGGTTTCCTTACGCTTTTGCTTCAATGAGAAGGGAGGAGGACATCACGATCTAGCTAGCGGGCAGGTTCTTCAGGTCACCCTTGCCTTCTTTGATCCACTCGGGGTCGATCAAGCGCTCACGCTCGGCGTAAAGCTGCTTATATGCGCCACGGATGGTGCCATCGCTGACGTGGGCCACCTGGGAGATCTCCTTAGCGGACTTGCCGTGGCCCATCAGGTACGAAGCCATGTAGATGCAGGCGGCCACGATAGACAGAGGAGAACGGCCAGCCAGGTCGCCCATGGTGGTGACGCGATCAGAGAGAGCAGAGGAGACGCTGGTGACTTGGAAGGGAAGATCGAGAAGGTTGCAGAAACGGTTGCAGAGATCGCTGGGCTTGGTGGAGGTGGTCGCGGTGTAGGTGTCGTTGGGATCGGGGACACCACCGCTCGAAACCACGGCGTTGATCCGCTCGAGGTTTTGAGCCGTGAAGAACTTCTCCAAAGCCTTGTAGATGCGTCCAATCTCCTTTCGCGTGACCTTCGTGACAGCGAAAATCTCGGTAAAGGTACGGGGCACCTTGCATTGACGACACGCAATGAAGATACAACCGGCGATGATCACGTCTTGCGATTTGCCCTTGAAAGCCTTGGCGTCATCGACAATCTTGAACAGATACTTGGCGGTGTCTGCAACGTTCTTCTGGATATTGAAACCGTCGCAGAGCGCGCCAATTTCCTTGTACGCCGCCAGGAGGGCCTTGTTGGCCTTCTCACTCGACTGCTTGTTCTGAGCGCGGTAGAGGTCGCGCACTCGACCCGAGCCACCGCTGGCAATCTGAGTTTCCAACTGGTCACCATTGAGTAGCGGGTTCGTTGCGTCTCCAACACGAGATGGATCATCGTTGTTCTGGTCATCGTTCGAAAAGGTACGCCATTCGGAATGCATGTCGATTTCTCGATCAGCAAGCACCAGCCCGCAGGATCCGCAGACAGTTTCGTGAGAGCCGGGGAACTCGAGATTCGGGGGGACCTCTTTGCACTCGGGGCAGATGATGTGGGCGGATAGATTCTTCTTCCATTGCGGCTCAGCTTTCTGGGTGGCCATTTTCTCTGGTCGTATCGTGTTCTCTGCGATGGACTGTGGGGTTGGCGCCGGCTCGACTTTCGCGGATTTCCTGTAGTAGAGCGGCTTCTGTTTGCGCGCACACAAACGAATGTAAAGCGGCGAGAACAGTGTGGCGACTGTTCTTCGTCAAGGGAGGATTCAAATCCTCTTCAGCAACAACGCAAAGGGAGCAGCGGCGCGGATCGTGAGTCTCGCGAGCAAGTCACGTCTCTGCGTCTCACTGGCTTTCGTTCTCATGTTAGCCTGCTGCAAACCCTTTCCAAGCAAGATGAAGACAACTCCCAGCAGAAGGAGGATATGAGGACTAGACATGGGCTTGGACGATGAGCAGGCAGGGCCACTACCAGACCAGCTGCCACCGACACCTTGCCTACACCTCAGAGATGGGATCAAATTCCATGGTGAACTGATGCATCTTTACCTTTCAGAGCAGGTAAAGGACTCTTCGTCCTGCGAACAGTTCCCCAACTCAGAATAGCACGTTCCCAGGGGAGGTGCCGTCACTAATCAATCTCCGTCACTCGAGGGTCTTCGCACGCCTTGAGGCCAAGCTTGTCCGACCGCGATGAACCAGTCAAGGTCTCCGTGAACGATTACAGTCTCACGGAAAAATGGGCCGCAGAACCTGACAGGTAGCAGCTGCACGTTATGATCGGGGAGACCAGAAACGAGCAGAGCGACGTAGACGTGTCGGATTCTCAGACAAGAGAGGCCGGATAGGTGGTGGAAACAGACCTGTCCAAGAGGAGGAGGGGAGAGAGGGAGTTGGGAGGTTGAGGGACAAAGAACGAAAAGGACGAGAGTGAAGTGAGAGAGGAGAATCAGGTAAGCAAACGGAGGATTGCAGGCAGAAAGCACCTGACCTGACCTGAAAGACAGTTGAGCCGCAGCCGCTGCTGACTCAGCCCGCCAAGCCGAAGCCTCCCGAACAAACGTCGAACTTCCAACATCGGCTTTCAATCACGGTCGACAGCAATTGCTCTCCTCGCAGAAACCCACCCACCTCGAGTTTCCCCTCGTCTATCTCCCCCCTTCTCTCCGTCGCGATGATGTCCCAGTCTCTCAGAGCTTCCGTGAGTTCACCGCAATATTTCCTCCGTGGTTGACGGTATAGTCCTCCTCCGTGTGAACTGACCCTTTCTGGTAGCGCTCTCTCTTCACCCGCGTCTCTCGGCAACAGGTTTCTGTTGCCCGCCGCACTTTCCTGACCTCCGCCATCCGTCAGGGTAGGTGATCCATTTCCTTGTTCTGCCGCCGTTGTCGACTCTCGGGAACTGGTCGTGTAGTCGCATTGGCCTCGCGATGTTCGACCCGGCGTGCTCCCCCACGACGCAAGTCTAACGTTCTCTCTTTCGCAGCCGACCCTGTTCAGGACCTCTACCTCCGTGAACTCCGCGCCTACAAGCCCACTCCCGTCAAGCCCGGTGATGCCGATGCTCACGTCCTGAAGTTCTCCCCCCCTGCCGCTCCCCAGTCCCCCGAGGAGGCCAACCTTGCCAGTGAGCTGAAGTCCTACGAGAGCCAGGAGGTCGAGGTTGAGGGTCAGGCCGCCGCTGGTGAGGCTGCCCCCGCTGAGGAGAGCTGGTTCGAGGAGGAGGAGGAGACTCCCGCTGCCCACTAGGTTGCTTGTCTTGACGGCAAGATAGAAGGATATCTCGGGGCTAATGGGCAAACGTGATGAGACCGATGTGATGAGCTGTCTCCCGGTTGTTGTGCCTCCGAAGGTCACTTTGTAAATTAAAACCTATTTGGAGCATATGAAGTTCTTTTTCTTTCATTGAACCTGAAGTTGAATTCGGATGCGCAGTCATGGATGGATGGGTCGTACGAGGTGCACTGGAGGGTATCTATCATGTTATACCAGCCCCGTTAGCCTCAAGCCAGCCATGGGCATTACCCCGGAGCAGGGCTAGGCAGCAGAGATTTGCGAGCCTAAGGCCACTAGGTTGTGGCGGTAGGGCGGAATTGATCGATCCGATCCGATTGATAAAGTAGAGTCGTACTCCGTACCAAGTACTGTACTCCGTACTATGTGGGAAAAAGGCAAAACCAAGTAACTAACTACTGGAATACTTGAGACCAGAAAGCGCACACGTCCCCATTGTTCCCCGCCCGACAGACCTGATACGAACTGGTCGGGATAAGAATGGCCGGCTGCACTGATGACCCCATCGTGCGACGTGTGCAAAGGGCCAAACACAGCTGGAGCCACTCCAGCCAGCCAGCCCATCCAGAAGGGCACATGGGCGCCGGACACCGACTACCTTAACTACCGGAATACGTACCTCGCTTCGGATTCGCAAGGGATGCACATCCCCCTACCTTACAGCTTACATTTGGGCTTGAGTCAAGGGCAGCAGATCAATAACGTGTTATACCCGTCTGCATCGGGCGAATCCAAACAAGAGATGCATCACGCAATCGAATTTCATCGTCCATCCACCAAAGAATAAGGATGAGAAGCATTGCAGATGAGATCTGTCGAATTGGACTGGACGCAGGGGGGGGGGGGGGGGGAAGGGAGTGGTCGTTCTTGTTCTTCATCGGGTGACGGACGAGATATGACAGCTCCAGCACGACTCTCAGACCGCTCTCCCAGCTGTGTTTCTTAGCTTCGGCTACAGATCATCCAGTCTGGGTTTTTCCCTTCTTTGTCGCAAGTTTACTTTGATAGACACTTTTTTTTGGGGCAAAAAAGAAAAGAAAGAAAGAAAGAAAGAAAGAAAGAAAGAAAAGCACTTACTCGTCGTCGGAAGGGTTTGACTTCCCCGTGCGCAGGAGAAACACCAAGCTATGGTGCAATAGTCTCTTCGCTCAGCCAATGCACAGTCGATATGTTGACAACATCTCACCCTGAGGTTTATCAAGGTTTAAATAGATCTAGTGGCATACCCACCGAACACACCCAGCCTGCAGAGTCGATCCCTTAGTCGACATAAGACACGACGAACCTGAACCGAGAGAGACATCCCATTCGGCCGGTAGGTGGCTATAACTTAGGGTGGCTGGAGTGCTGCAAGACTGCTGCTGGCTCTTTCGGCCAGCCAGTTCACTCACCCATGAAGCAGCTCACTATCTTTGTAACTGTCACACAATTCACCTGCATTCGATCCCACCGCCTGACGTTGACCGAAGACAATCCTGGAATGCAGACGGTGGTCTCCCGGTGGACCGATTATGGCTGTGCGACATACTTCGGGGATAAACCAGATTGCGCAGAGGAATCCGCCACTGTTTCAATGATAATCAAGGATAACGATTAGACTAGAGGCACCTGAGTCAGTATATCCGTTCCCCTCTTTCGAGGAGAGACGAAGAGTACGGTAGTAGAATGAGAGACGATCCAGATAGAATGGTCTCATCTCCATTTGGGGACCAACACGATGGGGTCGGTAGGTTTTATGGGGCCCGGATGGGGCAAAGCAACGCCGGCTTAGTACGAGTAGTAGCCAAGTTGACAGGGAAACAACCAGAGGACTTGTAGGTACTGACTGTACTTCATACCGCCGTAGGAGAGGAGACATTATTTATAGGAGAGATTGCATCATGACAGGAGCCAAGGTACAGTACAGTACTCCGTGCACACCTTAAGGATCCTCTTTCTTTTCTACTGTTTTGGCCTACTTTTTGGACGGGAGATTTGGCAGTGCCAAGTTTTTCTACGCGCGATCCATTACTCATAGTTGGTTTCACGCCGGTTGTCCGCGCCCCCCCTTCCCCTTCTCTTCCTTGTCCCTGTCCCTGTCCTCTGGCCCCCCTCCCTCTTCCCATATAGGGTTGAATCCGTGTTGGCCTTCCTAGCTCCAGGGTCCTTGGTCTTTTTTTTTTTTTTTTTTTCCGTTGTCGCCATACCGGAAGTATGGAGTAGCCAGTACGGTAGGAGTCCTCGGTACTGTACAAAGTAGAGATAACTATGTATAACCTGGTTGGTAGGCGACTACAGTAGGAGGAAACCGTCAGCAGTCTCTCACCTACACCACCAACTATTACCTCAGAAAGTAAGTTATATCTGACTATCTCTAGACACCTCTTCTCTGTCGGTTGGACGTGCATGCAGCAGCAGCAGCAGCAGCATCCACTTTTCACTGAGTAGTGATGGGGACAGAAATGCTGGGCTGCTGTATGGTATCGTCTTGTATGTATGTACAGTATGTACAGTACATGCCCTATCGACCGGTCTACTGCATGTATAGTCCTCTCTGTCTTCACCAGAACGCAAAGACTAAGCATTGGTCCCTTGGGATCGAACCTACTGATAGCTAGTGTAGTTATTCATAGCAAGTACTGTACCGACAGAGTCAATCCCCTTCTGTAGGGTGATTCATCATGACAACGATTATTGAAAGATTCCGTTCCCCCAGAATGCAAGGCTGGAGGGTGGGGGGAGGGGAGGGAGGGAGTCAAGTCGCCTTCCAGGGATTCCAGGTATTTATAGGTATTGAGACTGGCTTTTCCACAAGGGTGTGATTTCATGAGTAATCATCATGATGATGATGTTGAGTATTACAAAATCTAAGAGGAGGATACGAGGACTATCATTTCATAAAGACGATTCCTAGATCCAGGGTTGGAAGTGGTCTGCCCTGGGGTGGGGAGACGAGGTGGGCTTGTAGGGGTACGTAGTCGAGTTGCAAGTTACAACAGGCTGGTATCAATACCTTGTTGTCAATCGCTTCAGAAGTAATCAATCAATCATGCGTTGTGGACAGGACAGGACGAGGCAGGACACTCATGTCAATTCGGTTCATCTCAATTCATCATCACTCAACCACCATCCGATGCAGCTAGGAAATGGGGAGAAAAATAATAAATCCAAATAAAAATAATAATAAAATCATCGTCCTTCCTCCCACATTGAATCACAAACCACAAACCACAAACCACAAACCTAATTCAGGAACAGACGGCTTCGACATCCACAGGCTGGAACCTCTCTCTCCCTTTGGATCCTTAAACGTGGAGGAAGTCCCATCTTCAATCGAGTCGGTCCTTTCTTCGCCCTCGTCTTGGTCTGCTTTTGTTGTTGCGATCACTATTGCTACTGTTGTTGTTGCTGCTGCTGCTGCTGCTGCTGCTGTTCTCGGGCCCGAAATAAAGAAAGCTGAAAGGGACGCTTCACTTTGAAATTTCTTTGCCTCTCCCCTCGCTGTCCCTTCTTTGCGCCCAATCTCTGGGAATTATAGGCGAAGAGACGAAGAAGGAGATTAGAAATCGAAAGAGACAAACAACTCAATCTCACGGTGGAGGGGATTGTTGGCGTTGTTGTAAGAGATCCGTATTTCTGCCTTGAGCCCGCGTGTTGCGCTGCCCGGATTTCCCTTTCCCTTTCTTACTTACTCTCTGACACTCACTCACTCACTCTCTCTCTCCTGTCCGTCCCTCCCCTTCGCTCTCTGGCTGCTCTCTCTCTCTCCCTCTTCTTCTCCCTCTCTCCCTTATCCGCTCTCTCTCTCTATCTCTCTCCTGTTTAAACTTCTCCTGCTCCACCACCATACTTCTTTAAAATCGTCTTCGTTTTCTCGTTAAATCTCCATTCGCTTTCGCACTCCCCCCAGCCCTGTCGTTTCCTAGACAAATTTGTTGTTCCCCCTCGTTACCACGGCGTCCAACCCTGCCCCTCGCTCAATCCACTTCTCCGCCGCTATACTCCAGCCTCCCGACCCCCCCGAAACGCCGCAATTCTTCCCCGTCCGCCAAAACGACAGCGCGCGCAGCTCTCTGTCACCATTGCCAGCGTTGACTAATTCCTGTCTAATTGTCTGACAGATTGTCGAGCCTCGAAATTTCAGCTTCCCAGGAGAACATTCAGCTCGAGCGCCCGGTGATCCACCACTGTCGTATTCGCTTGTTCCTCTTCTGCCTGCCCGGACGTTCTGCCTGCACCGCCATAATCCACCGCCAGCCCGCCCTCCCCTCCACAGCCTCCGCGCCTTGTTTCCAGCAATCCACTTGCAGTAATCGCTACTTTTATTGCTAGGAGGGAAAAGTCGTTGAGCGCATGGTTTAATCTCGTGTGTCGTGCAGTTGCTGTACCTAGAGGAGCTGGCCTCCCAACCGTCCCACCTGAGCTTCGATCCAATTCTCTGCTGGAGGGGAGATGTGCATCTTTCGAGGGCCCTTTACAGTCACCGTTTTATAACCCGAACGAACGAACCACGGCCATGTCTTCTTCCGAAATTATCATGACTCAACCCAATGACGAACATGCCTTTCTCAATCACGCCGCCAGTTACAACCACCTTCCTGACCTCGCGGCAGCACAAGCAGCCGCTCACCCTGGCCTCCGAAGAACATTCTCCGATCTCACACATCCCACCCAGTCGGATTCACCGTCAAAAGAGGATGTAGCAGCGGGTAAGGATATCTTGCGACGGACTTCCATCCGTTCCAAGAACAAGCCCACCATTGCCGTCTCGCGGTTCACTGTATCCGCGGAGGACTTGTCCGACGCGACAACCGGCTCAGAAGCGACCTCATTACCAGCCAAAGAACCCACCGAAACGAGACCCCCGTCGCCGGTAGCCCGTCCCTCCAAAGCTCGATCGATGTCAGGGAGACTCGTCAGTTTGGCCCGGAAACCATGGTTGTCGAACTCGCCTCCATCCGGGAAGAGCTCTCGGCTTCGGTCCCTGCGGACAGAGGAGCAATCGACATTGAATCCGCCGGTAGCATCATCCAGATCATCGCGATCGAGTCTGCAGTCGGACTCGGGCACCGAATCTGAAAGCGCGGCCCCCACCCGACGAAGAACTATACTGAACAAGCGCCCGCGGCGCCCCATGGTTGCTGTCGTTACTCAGAGCCGATTCGATGGATCGAGTACTCCCAGCAACTCATCGCCTCAGTCGCTGATGCCGAAAACATCGTTAGAAAAGCTCGCCGCATCACTCAACGTTTCGACACCCGTGCTCCCCCCGGTGCCCAAAACACCAGCCACCGCGAATCTGGCCGCTAGCATGGAATTTCCGCGCAAGAAGGATGAACTGTGGGGAGTGTTCCGCAATCTCGAGGCTGATTTTCAAAAGTGAGTTTGTTGACAGGGATATTCGTGTGGGACATCTTTTCTTACCATTGTCCAGGTTCCAGTCCAAGTCCAGTGCTTTGAAGGCAAATGTCATTCGCTCTTCCCTATTACCCTTTCTCAACCGCAGCCATTCGCACTCGTCGTTCAAGCAGTTGCGACCTGAAGACCTAGATCGCCGAGTCAATATTCTCAACAAATGGTGGATTGGATTGATGGAGATGCTGAACGGCAAGAACAACCAGTCAATATCTGGAACCGATAGACCCGTGTATCTGGAAGCGGTGGTAGGAATAATGACGCGCCCAGAATGGAGAATACCATTTCCCATGCCTCCGTCGAGTCGAAACTTCTCTAGGTCCTTGACAAATGCATCGACGTCGATATCAGAGTCGTCGGATGGTTCCTCGGGCTCGGACTTCCTTCTGGAATCTATCCACCACAATATCAGGAACATCTTCATTCAGAACCTGCTCTCCCAGATGGCTTTCGTGGTTGAGCGGATGTCGATGAGACATGCTCCGGCCAGCTTGGTCGCTTTTTGCGGGAAAGCCTGTGCCTATGCATTCTTTTTCTGCCCTGGCGTGGCAGATATTCTTGTGCGATTGTGGAACACACCACCGAGCGTCTTCCGGCGAGTCCTTGACCAGTCAAAACTGGACAAGGGTAGCGGAACACGCGCGTTGGCCCAGGAACTCACCGCAAACTTCCCGGCCGCCTTGCGCAGTCTATCGTTCTACGCTCACACGGCACTTGTTCGGTATCTTCGCCAAAAGCCCGATGTTCCACTGAGTACCGCTCAAATCCCGTGGCAGAGCCCTTGGGCAACTCGATGGTGCGGTCGAGACACCGATCTCTTCTTTGTCTTTGTCAAATACATTCATGTGCTTTATGCGGATGCGCTGCCACCGGAGCTAGAAAAGTCAAAGCGTATCCTGGCACCTGGCCTGTTGCCAGTCCACTCGCAGCTTCTGGTCGTTTTAGAGGATACACTGTACAAGCAATCAGTACCCCAGGTGCCAGACAGCACCCACACCGCGTCCGCTGTCACGTTCGACGATTTCATTGAGGGTGCCGATGCAGCTGTCTCGGCGCTGCCCTTGGGGACCGCGAACAGCCATCGATTGATGGCTGAAAACCGTCTCATCATCCTGCTGCGGGATTTTCTCTCCGAATCCTCCCTCGAGCCGAATCATGCCAGGCTATTGTATGCGGAGTCCTTTGGTACCATAATGAGGGCTGCTGCGGAGAAAACGTCGCTTTTCGATCATAACGCGTGCTTCCTTCTGTGTGACTTCGTCGAGGAAGTCATCCCAATCGTCACCCGATATTCTCTTTCCATCGAAGCCGACTTGTTCGATTGGAAGTTCTGGTTGGAGGTCTGCCGTCAGATGATGCAAAGCCACAACTCTCTTACTGAGGTGCGCGTGTTCGCTTTTCTCTTCTGCATCTGGAGTACTTGGACCGCCTCGGAAGAGAGGAAAGCCGACCTCTGTCTGAAGTTCCTCCTGGACGAGTCTCTGTTCTACCATTATTTCAGTCATTGGAGTCCCATGGTTCGAGCATACTTCCAGCGTCTGCTGTGTTGGAGATTAGGTCGATTTAGTGACGACCCGACCATGCTCGACACCACCATATATGAGACACTCTACAACCGGCTGCAGCGGACCTGGAAGTACTATCAGGCTTTCCAGGCCAAAGCCGAGGAAGAGATCTCGGCACCATTGTCGTCCGCTCCCTGTACCCCGGCACCGGGGCGTAGGATCATCATTATTCGCTGCGATAACCAGCTGTCTCCGTCTAGTTTCTTTGTATCCTTCGATCGCGTCATACCTCCGGCTCCAGCGGAGAAATCAACTCTCGCAGGTAGTGCGTTATCGAAGCCGGACCCCGCGGAGAACCAACCACCCACCAAGAAGAAATGGAGTATTCTGAGAGCCATGTTTGGGGGGTCGTCGAATTCGAGAACTGGCGGTGAAGGGTCTTCGTCCAGTAGTTCCGATGAGTCAGACTCCTCTGGTTCTGATGCAGTGGGGAGGGCAGAGAAGCCACCAGACAATCAGTGGCGGCAGCCCAACGGGCCCGGGGAGTTGGGGCGGCCTCGCACAGCGCATCAGCCGTATTCATTCAAATTCTCGCTGGAATGGATGGACCGGCCTCAGTGGCCGAGTAAAAACAAGCGACTATTTACCCCTTGCCTTCCCGTGGGGTCGCAACTACATCTCCAGCTGCGCAAGGCCCTGGCCAAGCAATCGGAGTGTGATACAACCTCCGAATATGTGTCCGCTACCGAGGGCGATGATGACGCCATGAGTGACGGACGACAGACCAGCCCCTACTCCGACGACCAGGACGAGACGCCGACGGAGGACACCGCTGACTCCGACAAGACGACGGATGGGCTAGACTTCAAGCTTGTTATGAACGATCGGTTCGCGGCGAGCAAATACGCGGGCCGAGCACTAGCGGAATGGGCACAGATTGTGTCGGAGTGCGATAACTTCTTCGCCCGCCGTCGCGATGAGGGCGTGCCCTGCGATCGATTGGTCGAGACCCCAACGCTGGGCGTTGAGAGTTTCCGCAAGTGATGATGGCTTGTACAGTCCAGCCACCTCCCGCTGACGACCTCCGAAACGACAACCTTTTATATTATACGACACGACCTATCCAAAATCCTCCTCCACACCTCTTCCCTTCCAAACCTGTCTATGGCCCACAAGCATATACACCCTGGGGACGATCCATATCTAAACTAATGCATCAATCCTAATCCCGCATTCCGAACCCACCTCCATCTTGTTTTTCCTGTTCCACTCATACCCCCAGAGCACATGTATTGTATATATAAATCAGGGCTTTTTCAACTGGGCCGATGGATATTGATCTTGACACACATAAAAGAGACACGGCGCAGATTTTCACATACAGCATCAAGGGTGTTTGTTTTCTTTTAGTTTCCGGTACTGTTCTGAGTTCTAATACATGTCAACTCCGGCGTCTCCTTGTTCATATTCATTTGGGCGGTCTAGTTTTTTTTCTTTAATTGTCTGTTGTTTTCGTCATGAACGTACAGTACAGTACAGTACAGCTTAGTACAAACTACACCTAGTTACTCCGTAGTGCTTATTATATTGACACGATTGGTTTCTTTCTCTCGATCTTGGGGCTTGGTGAATTGGATTGGGCTGTAGCCTTATGGTAAACATAGTACTTACTTCCCTACCCTGTCAGAATACATACACACATACATACCCTTTGATTACGGGGGTAGCCTTTCAAATCTCTGTCTCTTGTGGGGAAAATAAAAATCGAAGAAAAGATGATGTAGAATGGTGTGTAAGACTAAGATATATCTTCCGTTACATGATCAAGGGCTCGCTCCATCATGAGTACTCCGTAGCTATCTAGTCCACTTTGGCAATCATCAACCCAACCGTGGACAATTACTTTCGATCCCTAATCGTCCATGCTTGTATCCGGGAATGGGGAACGGTGTTCATGAATAACTAGGGTTTGGTTTATCTCGGGCCCGGCTCTGAGGGCAGGAGCTCGAAGGACTTTTCGTAGTAGTAGTCTACGGAGTAGTCTACTCTAGTCTGGTCTAGTCTACTCTAGTCTAGTCTAGTATCCGGCACAGACTATAGGTACAGTACAGTATCAGGATGTCGATCCGGTCAATCACCCCACCGGGCCCTACTATTTCTGCCTACGGGGTGACGTAGATGGATGAGTTGAGTCGAGTGAGGGGAGGGTGGGTATCCCCGACTTATCTCTTGATGGGGCTGGGCAGGGCTGGGCAGGCAGGGCAGGCAGGGCAGGGCAGATTGATCTGCGGCTTCAATTCAGCTGTGGTTGTGTGGTTGTTTCGCCCCGGCTTAGGAACAGGGGGAAAAACGTACGATGATAGGGACCAGGATCTAGACCCGAGTAAACCCCCTATAAACCCGCCGCGACCCAGTTCCCGTTCTCTGGCTGGGTTCGAGGGATGGATCGGTGGATGTATACAGTACACTACAGTACAGTGCACGGGCTCGGTCGTGAGTAGGGAAGTAAGCTAGGCGTGCTGGGTAGAGGTGGTGGTGCTTGGGATCTATCTAGCGCATGGGGGGTTGAGAACCTTGGAGGGTCGACGGTTTTGTCAGGTTTAGTCAAGGTCTTTGAACAGCCTTAGGAGGGACAGGGGTGCACTGGCTGGCTGCAGATGGGTTCATGGTTCTTGCTGAGTTATGGCTGCGATGAAACCTTTCCGCATCAACAAGAAAGCAAAGCGGCGGGGGCGGGAGGTAGATGGTGCATTTGCGCAAGATGAATAAGATCTATACATCCGACCCTTAGTTCGAGACAGCCACCCATAATGCGGAGCAGTACCTCGCGAAAGGTTATCAGAATCAAATGAAATGCAGGAAACAGTAAGGAACACCGTATAGATTGAGAAGATAGGTACAGAGAGATAAGAGGCCAGGAGATATGGTTGTCAAGAAGGGAACAGAAAGAAAGAAGCACTTCGAAGAACATGCCATCATGTTCATGTTCCTCCAAGTGAATGATGTGTGGTGGTCTATCTACGGGCGGGATGCGGGGAGGGGGTTATTTGTGAGGCCAGATTCTCTCAGGATGCGGCGCAAATGATACACACAGAATGGAACATTGACAAAACAAAAAGGAAGACTGTGCAGTGGAGCTGGTGGTGTGAAAGGTGAACATATATATAACAGGTGTGATGTGGTGCTGCTTGGTGGCCACCGCAGCTGAGACAGACAGAAAAACAAGAGGGAGGGGTATTTTCTATAGGAAGTGGAATGATTATAGACGAGATGTGGACCCAGAGTATCAGTCGTGAACAAGGCTATTACTCGCGCTGGAGATGATGTCTGAGACTCGATCAATCCACTCCTGAGTAAGAGTCCAGTTGCCCGCGTCGATACTGTCTCGAATGGCGGGGAAAAGGGTCGGATCGTAGCCAGACCATAATTCAGGCCCGAAGATCACGTGTTTGAATTGCGTGCGGTTCGGTACCTAGCAAACTCAGTCAGTTTTGAGATCGAATTCAGCAGAAAGGGACGACTTACTCCGCCATCTGGTCGGTCGTCCAAGAGATTAGTCTCAAAATGAGCCATCCGCGCGTTGTACGACAGCCGCTGCACAGCCATCACGTTGTTCTCGAATCCGCCAGCGCCCCAGACAGCATCGTGCCAGATCTGACCCCATTGCTGGAAGTGCTCCGCGTCGGCCTTGAACTTCACGGCCGCCTCATATAGAGGTTTGAAGGTGACCGTGGCCTCCGATGCTGCTTCGGCGATGGGAACACTCTTCGACTTGGCATACTGCTCCAAGTCGCTGACATAACCACCCACGTGATTCGCATAGCCTTCGAGGTCATAGGGCAGGATTGGGCTGTCTGCGATCTGAAGAATCAGAAGACCCCAAAATTGACCAAGGATCTTGTGGTACTGAAACTCGGGATCGACAAATTTCGTCATCCAGTCATAATTCTCGTAGCAGCTGTGGTAAGGGAACGGTTCGCCAGCGAAGCCAAAGTCCACGCTGGAGGTTCCAGCGATATCCTGGAAAGCCACATAATCGCTCCCGGCTCCCAGCGGACCCAGTCTCTTCTTGTTCTTCTGCCACAAATCCTTCAGGGTTTCATTACTGATGGGATCTGCGATGCGGCCAAGGATCTGCGTGACGACCCGCTCAAAGAGGGGACACCCAGCGGCCTCGAATTCGTGACCGCTAACTCCCACGTCGACGTTGATGTAGGCGTAAGCGTTCTCCTTGAGCGCCTTCAATTCTTTCTCCACATGCTCTGTCGAGCCGACGAGATTATATTCTTCGGCATCCCAGCTGATGAATTCGATAGTGCGCAAAGGACGCCAGCCGAAGGTGAGAAGTTCCCCGAAGACCCGAACCAGCTCCAGGAACACTGCGGTACCGCTGCCAGGGTCGGCGCTTCCGAGACACCATGAGTCACGGTGATTGCCAATTATGATCTTCTTCTCCGGTTGTTCCAAGCCAATTATCCTGCCAACCACGTTGTAGATGGGCTGTCTTTCCACCTCGTCTTGGAGGTTCATGAGATTGACGGTTGGCGAGGACTTGGCTCCCGTCCACCACTGTTTCACCTCCGGGACGCCGCCAACCCACTTTTCTGGCACTTGCGCACCATGGCCATCCAGGACTTGAAGAAGCCTCTGGGCGTCGCGCCAGGCAAGCGGAATGCTGGGGATATTCGTCAGCCCCGGGCTTTCCTCTGGTTTGAGCCTCTTCTTTTCATCGGGCGTAGAGGCAAACCCGGGCGAGAGGACATCTCCGACGACCCACGACATCAGACTGACTGCCCCACGTTGTGTTCCATCGGCCGGCATATAACGTCCCTCGGGGTAGGCAGGACCCTGGACAAAGCCATCCTGCGCCGGATCCGAATAAATGATGCAGCCTACCGCGCCAGCAAGTTCGGCGGCCTTGACTTTGAGAGCACGATCAGACTCCGTGCCTCCATAGCGGACCAGCGCTATGGATCCATTCACGTCGATGCCTTGCTCTGCTAGGTAGTGGAAATCCTTGCGAGAGCCGAAATTGGCGTAGACAAGGTGGCCCGTGACGTTCCCAGATTTTGAATGTCCGTGGAAAACCAACGTTTGCTCTTCTTTCTCCTCCAGCGCTGCCTCCCAGGCCAATTGAGGAGGGTCCACAATAGCCACCCGTCTGCCGTCGGTAGTAGGGTAGTTCAAGTACACCTGGAATTCCTCCATTTCAACCTCGTCGAACGCCGCCTTTTTGAATTCCGATTCCACCCATTCTGCAAGCACATAACTACCTTCCGTACCGGCCATATGAGGGTAGGCGGTCAGCTTTTTCAGATTCTCGGCGATATTGGTCTCGTTGATATGTCCCTGAACAAAGTTCTCCACGGACGCGGCACTGTATGACTGTCCCATGATAAATCGAGTATTCATGTTGAAGATGTCCGATATGAAGAAGATATAAACCACGGTGACCACCAGGAAAACTCCGAAAAGACGTAGTAATATCATGCACGCATTGTTCTTCAGCCCTGCACGAGCATCGTCGAGACGTATCGTGAACCGAAACGTAGGGAGGAAGCGGCGAAATGGTAGATTGAAGGAGGAGAGGGAGCGAGTCAAGTTGTTGAAGCGCTTCGAGAATCGCGACCGCAACTGTGAGCGGCGAGAGGATGACTGCGGGCCATCTTCTACGTCCATCTGATCGAGTTCCCGTCGCAACTCTTCCATGGACCCTCGTTCCGATCTCGAGCCGGTCGAGTCGAGGTCATCGATACTATTGCGGGCAGACTCGACGGTGGGAGGCTGATAGCCACGAGGTCGGGCCTCCGCCCGCGGAGTGGTATCCGGACCACTCCGGTGAAGAAGGCCTTGTCGTTCAGCATTGTCGCCTGCTTCGTCGGACGAATCGAGATGGGACCGGGAAGAGCCAGGACGGGCACCAATGGCCTCCTCGTAGGTAGGAATCGGCAGGGATTCGTAGTCGAACTTCTGATCGTTACCCATGGCGGGAGGTATGGAGCTCCCGGGAGCCGTGCGACGTAGATAGTATCACAGATACAGAA